CAATGTCAGCTCACTGCAACCTCTGCTTCCCAGGTTCAAGCGATTCTCCCACTTCAGCCTCCTGAGTAGCTGCTGGGATTACAGGTGTGTGCCACCATGCCCGGCTAAATTTTGTATTTTTAGTAGAGATGGGGTTTCACCATGTTGGCCAGGATGGTCTCAAACTCCTGACCTCAAATGATCCTCCTGCCTTGGCCTCCCAAGATGCTGGGATTACAGGTATCAGCCACTACACCAGGTCCACACACTTTTTTTCTTTTTTTTCTGAGACTGAGTTTCACTCTTGTTGCCCAGGCTGGAGTGCAATGGCGCTATCTCAGCTCACCTCAACCTCTGCCTCCCAGGTTCAAGCAATTATTCTGCCTCAGCCTCCGAGTAGCTGGGATTACAGGCATGCACCAACACGCCCGGCTAATTTTTGTATTTTTAGTAAAGACGGGGTTTTTCCATGTTGGTCAGGCTGGTTTCGAACTCCCGACCTCAGGTAATCCACCCGTCTCGTCCTCCTGAAGTGCTGGGATTACAAGTGTGAGCCACTGTGCCTGGCTCACACTTTTAATATAACAGAATATTTAATTACATCAGTTTCCCATCAACCTTCCAAAGTCATTTAATAATTATATTGGCCATTTCTACTGATTGGCAGGAGTCTCTCCCATCGTTTCCATTGCATCATTTTTCTGGCCAGACTTAGTTCATTTTCAGCCTGCAGAATCACCTCTTCTATTTGACCACCTTGAAGTTGGTCTTCTGAGTTTTTAAAATTTTTATTTATTTAATTATTTATTTTTGAGACAGAGTCTCACTCTGTTGCTCAGGCTGAAGTGCAGTAGCATGATCTCAGCTCACTGCAACCTCCACCTCCCGGGTTTAAGTGATTCTCCTGCCTCAGCCTCCCGAGTAGCTGGGACTACACGCCTGCACCACCATGCCCGGCTAAGTTTTCTATTTTTAGTAGAGACAGGGTTTTAGCATGTTGGTCAGGCTGGTCTGCCTGCTTCAGCCTCCCAATGTGCTGGGATTACAGTAGTGAGCCACTGCGCCCGGCTGTTCTTCTGATTTTTTAACATCTGGTTCCGCTTTAACCATAGCCAACTTCTCATTTGTAATCTGTTCTGTATGCTTTCTGTATGCTGCATTTTTAGGGATTTGCTGAAGAACATAAAAAATCTTCGTGTACAATTTTCTTAGCCTGTCTTGTGGACTCTCGCATACAGCCAATCCCACAAGGCCAGTGGTCTTCAGCACACCCATCATGACTCTGGCTAATAGAGATAAGGTCTCCATATGTTGCCCAGGCTGGTGTTAAACTCCTGGCCTCAAGTGATCCTCCTGCCTCAAACTCCCAAAGCATTTGTCCATTTTAAAATCAGGTTGTTTGTCTCATTGTTAATGAGTTATAGGAGTTTTTTTTAATATATATTCAGGACACTAAACTCTTACTAGATAGGTGATATGCAAATATTTTCTCCTATTCTGTAGCCTTTTCAGTTTCTTAATAATGTTAAAGTTTTTAATTTTGAAGCCCAATTTATATAATCTAAAAATTGTTGTAGATCATGCTTTTGGTTTCATTTAAAAATACATTGCAGCCGGGTGCGGTGGCTCACGCCTGTAATCCCAGCACTTTGGGAGGCTGAGGCGGGTGGATCACGAGGTCAGGAGATCGAGACCATCCTGGCTAACACGGTGAAACCCCGCCTCTACTAAAAATACAAAAAATTAGCTGGATGTGGTGGTGGGTGCCTGTAGTCCCAGCTACTCGGGAGGCTGAGGCAGGAGAATGGCGTGAACCCGGGAGGCACAGCTTGCAGTGAGTTGAGATCACGCCACTGCACTCTAGCCTGGGTGACAGAGTGAAACTCTGTCTCAAAAAAATAAATAAATAAATAAAAATAAAAATACATTGCCAAATCCAGTGTCATAAAGTTTACCCCTATGTTTTAAAATCTAATCTTAAAGACTTACCCTATTTTATGGTCTTAGTTCTTATATTTAAGTTATTGATCCATTTTGAGTTTATTTTTAAATAATGGTATGAGGTTGGGACTCCAGCTTAATTATTTTGCAGATAGATATCCAGTTGTTCCAGCACTATTTGTTGAAGAGACTGTTCTTCCCTCATCGATTGGTCTTGACACTCTTGTTGAAAATTAATTGCCATAGATTTATAGGTTTATTTCTGGACTCTCACTTCTGTTTCCTTGGTCCATGTGCCAGTGCTGTAGCTTTGTAGCAGGCATCACAATAAGAAAGTAGGAGTACTCCAACTTTGTTTTTTTTCAAGATGGATTTAGTTCTTAAGGATCCCTTTCAATTCCACATGAATTTTAGGATCAGCTTGTTAATTTATGCAAAACATGCCTTTGGAATTTTAATGGGAATTGCATTTAATCTGTAGCTCAATTTATGGAGTACTGCCATCTT